ATGAATCTACCTTATTCAGCTACCATGCTTGAGATAACAGCGTTACCTAAAATTTGACGTAGCGTACCCCAATATTGAACTTCCCACTATGGAAAAGTGTTTTATTCCGTATAACCGTATTACCCATGGCATAATTACAAAATTTAGAACAAAGCTACAACCTAATATTTTTTTTCTTTCGGTGCCCAATATCTGTCAAAACGTATACACATTTTGTGTATGTATTCTAAATTTCGAAATTCCATTCATGTTTCGCGGGTGTTTCCCAATATAAGAATTTTGTTAAAAAATAGAAATAAACAAAGCTAACTGTTGCATATTTAAAAGTCTATTTGACACTAGCCTCCAGCACAGAATTGAATTTTTCTAGTTCCTTTGAAATTTACCAAGCTTTCTTATTAAGCCATGGTATTACCCAACTACGCAAGGTCAATATCTTAAAATCTACCCATGGTAGAATGCAGAAGGTAAAGTCGTGCAATTATGTGTTCACAATTTTTTTTATACCCTCCACCATACATAGTATGGAGGGTATATTAAGTTCGTAATTCCGTTTGTAACTCATCGAAATAATCATTTTAGATATTGATCAGCGTAAAATTCTAAGTCGATTTAGCCCTGTCCGCCGTCGTCTGTCCGTTTTTTATCCAGATTTTTCAACGAGATTGTCTGAAAATCCACACAAGAGTTCCTTGTGGGCTTTATACCTCGGAAGAGATTATCTGTATAGGTCGACGATATCGTATAGCCCCCACATAACGGCACCCCCCGATATTCGGTAATTTGATGATTTTAGCAGCCACATTTTCTAATGGAGTGGTCTGAAAAGATTTCCTTGTGAGTACTTTTCTATTGAAAGAGAACTATCTATATAGTTCCACGATATCGTATATCCCCCACATAACGGTACACTCCGATATTCGGTATTTTGATGATTTTAGCCACATTTTTCACCGGAATCCACACAAGGAGTTCCTTTTGGGTATTTGATCTCTTGAAGAGAATTATCAATATAGGTCCACGATATCGTATAGCCGATATTCGGCATTTCGATGATTTTAGCCTCATTTTTCAACAGAATTGTCTGAAATTCTACACAAGGGTTCTTTGTGAGTACTTTACTTCCTGAAAGAGATTTGTCTATATAATTCCACGATATCGTATATCCCCCATATAACAGTACCCTTCGATATTCGGTATTTTGATGATTTCAGCCACATTTTTTCAATGGAATTGTCTGAAATTCCACACAAAGGGTTCTTTGTGAGCTCTTAACCCCCTTACGGAGAGTTCTCTATAAAGGTTACGATATCGTATAGCCCTTATATAACGGTACCCCCGATATTCGTGTTTTTTATGATTTTAGCTATATTTTCCAATGGTATTCTCTCTGAAAATCCACGCAAGGAGTTCTTTGTGAGCACTTTAACCCCTGAAAGGATTTGTCTTTATAGGTCCACGATATCGTATATCCCCCACATAACGGTACCCCCGATATTTGGGATTTTAATGATTTTAGCCACATGTCCCAATGGAATTATCTGAAAATCCATACAAGGAGTTCCTTGTGAGTACTTTACCCCCAGACATAGATTTATCTATATAGTTCACATAATCGTATATCCCCCCATATATCGGCACCTTCCGATATTAGGTATTTTAAAGATTTTAACAGAATTTTCAATAATTCGTTTCAAATGGTGGAGGGTATTCAAAGTTCGGCACGACCGAACTTACTGCTTTTTTACTTGTTAAATGTTTCATTTGACAATATCCCATTGGCAAAATTTAAACTTGCTAATCCATACATAAATCAGAGAAGAGAACCTGTTTTCTATGCAGTCAAATTTGACAAGGTAAATTACAGAGAATACAGAGATGGATATGCATATTTGAAATGACTTTATCTTCTTATGTTATCATGAATCTTTGGTGGGCCGGGTACGTCGAATTAATGGTAACGCTGTAAAATGTTTTGGGCATTTGGTATTTGTGTTGTTTAGCACTGCGACCAAAATGTCCCCAAAATTACTTACTTCCGACCAAATTACTAATTAAAAATCTGTTGGATTTTTTGTATTATATACATTTTATAAAAGTTATATTTATCAAAAAAAAATTAATATTTGTATTTGTTATAGACTTGGACTTGGTTGCGGATTGCTATTTCTTATCAGGTCTTTACATAGTATTCTATTGATTATATTTGTTTCTAATTTCATGCTATGCTTCGATCACGAAAACAGTTTTTTTTTCAATCCATTTTTATTTTTAGAAAGCTGTTCCCAAAATAAATCGATATTTAAATCGGATCAATGATCCTTTTCACTTGGTACTACTAATACCACTGGTCTATTTTAATGAATCAAGAAATGGATAAGTCATCATTGAAATAACTTCATTTGGTGTTATCAGATTAAGAGGCATATAATTACGAATAAACGAGAGGGTACTTTAAAATTTATTTCTCAGATTAAAAATTTGGAGTCAATAGAACCACGTAAAAGTCTTATTAGAAATATAGATCTAGGCATTAAACGTCTCCGTTCTAAAGTAGGGAGATCAATAAGACTTAAGCGGTGTTCATAGGGGGAGGGATTCATCTGTAGCATTTATAATAAGGGCTCCATAATACAAAACCATATTCTAATGTAGGCTGAACCAGACTGACAGAAGCGTTTAGTCACAAACGTATCGTCAAATTCCTTACACCAGCGCTTTATAAACCCTAATAACGATTTCGCATTGTTACATAAGACTCGATGTTCAAATTTATCCCCTGTTTACCATCTAAAACGACGCCATTATCCAGTTTGTAAGAATCTATTAAGTAGTCAAATGAAACGCTAGTGATCTAGATAGGGATAATTTTCTACACTTTTTAAAATTAAGCGACATTCCGTTAACATCACACCATTTCACAAGAGAGTGTAGATCAAGAACATGAAGTTTGGACGTCTAACTCAATATTACAAAAAAAGTTTAGCATCGTCTGCGAACATTAAGATTTTGAAAAATGAATTACCGATGGAAGATAATTTAGTATAGAACAAAAATCAAAGGACCTAAATGACTACCTTGAGGAACACCGGAATGCACTTTAATGATTTTAGAAATGATGTGACTGAAAGATACTTGTTGTTTCCGTTTTTGAAAATAAAAAGAAATCCATGATAGAAGTACATTCGAAAAACCTATCATATCCAGTTTATGTAATAATATTGGTGTACAACCGTATCGAATGCTTGCTGAAATCAGTGTAAATTATATCTGTTTGTTTTTTTTTTTTTTCATAGAAATCTCTCTGTACACACGACATTTCAGTTCCATTAGATTCGTCAAAGTCGATCTTCCTTTCACGAAACCATAATGATATGGAGAAATGATTGGTAAAACAATAAGCTATTCTTCGTGCAACTAAAAGTTCAAAGAGTTTTAGGATTGCACTCATTTTGCAATTCCCCTACAATTTTCAATCACATTCCTACTACCAGATTTATGTAAAGGTACTATAAAGCTAGATCTCCAAACGAAGGAAAATAGCCTGAAGCTAAATAATCATTGAAAATATTTCTGAGTGGTTTGTACAATTCGAATGGACACATTTTTAGAATATTACCAGGAACACCGTCCGAACCTGGGAGCAGCAGTACTTCAGTTTACTTTACACTTTACTTTGTTAATGCTTAAGAATAATTAGAATTAAAATTATAAGTAGAGTAAATTTTTTGAAAGAATTCAGCGAACATATCGGCAATTTCAAGAAAGGTAGAGACCTCTTTATTACCAAGCTTCATACAGGAACTGTCGAACTCTTCCTTTTGAATTAATAAATTTGTAAAAATTTTTGGGTTTTGACTTAAAGTTTCTTCTCATTTTAGATAAATAATTTGAGTAACACTTTGGATTTTCAATGTTGTACTTACTTCTAGCTTTAGAATAATTTCAAAAGAAAATTGTTTTTTTTTAATTTTTTAAATAATTACTTTTACTTTTTCGCAATTTCCTAAGATAAGGAGTAGACCAAGCAAGTCCTTCCTCAGGACTAACATTAAGACTGGAACTGATGTTGAGAATGCATTTTTTAAAGTATTATAAAAGTATGACACACGTGCATTTAAATGTCCTCTATAATCCCAATTTATATTGTATAAAGCAAGTTGCAGTTGTCCAAAATCAGT